CATAACAAAGTAGATCAGATAAATTAATTCTGTCTCGCAATCCACGAACTAATGGACGCCATTAACCTTTTCAATCATTCAGCAGAAAGTGACGCAGACCACCACGAGGAAGGCACAGTATGTGTTGCCGGTGTATCGGCAATACTAGCGAGTCCCCCTGTACGGTATATGAAGCTCATTGCTATCATGTTTTGGCTTTTCTAATCGATCAAAAATAATTAAAGATTAACTTAAAGCTGAAGATACGAATGTGTTCAACAGTAATAGTTATATGTTAGTCCTTCCTAATTTAAGTATTATAGTTAAGACTGGCTACTCGTGGGCTGTATCCTTCTATGGCCACAATAACATTACTACAGATTCCGAGTTTACTGATAAAGAGAGATGGTCAGCTGGTTGTTTCTTGCGGCCTCCTACCAATGACGTTTCAAGCTCTTGGTTAATACGTCTTATATAATCAGAGTAGTGCTCTTGTTTTAAAGTATTACTGTGCATCTACAAATAAAGCCTCTAACCACGTCCACAATTGTGTACACTTGACAACTCGGATTTATTTCATGGGGGGGACTGTTAAGCTTCTTAAATCTTTTTTATATCAATCTGGAACACCGCGGGGGTACAAGCAACACTGATAAGAAGCAGTGTGAATGATATTAGAACTAATCCTTACTGATTTATATGTCCGTGTGATGTATAGTCACTTACATTAGGTATATAAACTACAATTAACTTTCAGGCGGCAGTAAGGTCGGTGTGGGTCAGTAGTAAGATTCTAAAGATTCATGACTCGAGACCTATCTTATGGTAGAAACTGATTTATGTAGTAAAATATACATAGACAATACAATTATACAATGAGCATGGTGTAAGTATACAATATATATATATCATACACAGTGGAAGTATATTATACACCTTAGCTACATAGATAGTTCACGCATACAATATACACATACATATACGGTGTTCATAGATAGTGTTGGTATACAATGTACACAGACATTCGAGGTATACAGTCTACACAGAAATAAAAGAATAAAAACAAAGGATTTTCCACAAAAGGAAACAATTCGTACTAGTCAATAACAATCACTTCTACTATACCTGTACTTCATTTATTACCAGTGTGTGTTAAACATTAGCAGTCACGATGATAAAACAATATATATTATTATACATTACTACTCAAAGTAATTTATATAACCAACAGCCTCCACCCTTATAAAAAAAATCTGATTACACTCATTACATATTTCACACCTGAGAGTTGATTAATTTTTTATGACACGTTATTATTATGTCACGTGTTTTATTTAATATGTTAATTAGCCAGATTAAAACTAATTATTTCATGCTTGAAATTAATTAAATTTCCGGCTATAGAATTGTCCACTCTCAAAAAATATAATGAAATTTCTCAACCAATTCTCATCTGCAGTTTTGGGTGAATAAATCTTGTCTTCTTTATTAATTGTATTTCACTGATTATCACTGAGAATAAGTCCACTTTACACCAGACAAAACTAATGTAAGGATTTTTTTTTTCTAGCTGGGAGCAATCTTATAAATTCTGTTATCAGGAATATTAACATTAAAACATTTGAAACTCTGGAAACTAAACTACTTTATTTAATACGCTGAAATTTGTGTTGTGATATGAAGGCCACGCGTCAGTATGGCTCTCTACGTCAATCCCCGTCAAGTTTAACTTCTTAAAGATAAAGTGTCCCTACTTCTGCATGGGGAATGTATTTTAGCATTAGCGTCGGGGTTTAATAAGATTTGAGACTACAGTAAATATCTAGAAAGTTAAAGATACAGAACGATGACCCGAAAAACATTTGAGCAAACTACACAATCCCAAGACATTTGTGTTTAAAATTTATGCAAATCGGTCGAGGCGTTGTTTAGATTTCCTCTGAAACGAATAGTGAGAGAGGGGAAAAGGGGGAGAGTAAGAGAGAGAGAAAAAGAGGAGACAGAGATAGAGAGAGTGAGAGAGAAAAAAGAGGAGAGAGTGAGAGAGAAAAATAGAAGAGAGAGAGAGATAGAGAGATTGAGAGAGAAAAAAAGAGGAGAGAGAGTGAGAGAAAAAAAACGATAGCAAAAGAAGAAAGAGGAAAGAAAGTGAAAGAGAGAACGAGGAGAGAGAAAGAGAGAGAGAAAGAAAGGAGAGAGAGAGTCAGAGAGAAAGAGAGATGATAGTCCAGTAGAGTGAAAGTAATCCTTATTTTATTGAAGCTTTTCAGATAAAAAATGTTCATCACATCTTAGGCGTCACGAGAAGGAATAAGTAAAATTAATAACACTTGAAAAATTCTAAACTGACATTAGTGTATTGTTACTCCGAGCATCAAGGAGGATAAATAAGTGGTTTTAAATGTGAACGGTTAGGTTAGTTTAGGTTAGTTTAGGTTAGGTTTGATTAGTTTAGGTTAGGTTAGATTAGGTTAGGTTAGAAAGGAAAAGTTGAAGATGTAATGAACTAACGAGCGTGGAGATGGTTGGCTCCAGTGGTAATTTCCTAAATGCTTAATATAAGTTTCCTGGCCATTTTGTTCATAAAGCGTCTGTATGTCTGTCTGTATGTCTGTCTGTCTGTCTGTCTGTCTGTCTGTCTGTCTAATTGTTTGCTGCTCCGCTTTTCTCTTTTCGTTTGTTTCTCCTTCTTTCCGTCTTTCTCTCCTTTTATCTTTAACACACACACACACACACACACACACACACACACACACACACATACATCCTCTCAAGCGTTAATTTTACACACGGACGACTTTTATTCCCAGGCTAAAATAAGTTCATAGATCCCTGGGGCAACATAATATAGGAGCTCAGTTTTAATGACGACGATAACTCAAGATTCACATTCCTCGTTGCCTCCCAGTGTATAAAACTCAGCCCCCGAGCCCCAGGCCAAAAAAAAAAGTCTTATTAATGCTATCTATTACAAGTGATGAGGGATGTATGCAAATAAGAGCAAAAATGCACTCGGTCTTAAAGTTTACCCTGTCCTGGATCTTAGTGCTGAGATTGCTGGCCTTAGTTTGATACCGTGTTGTGTTTGTTTGGTATTGTGGGGTTTTTTTTTGGTGTTTGTTTGTCTGGTATTGTGTTTTTGGGGAGTTTTCTTTGTCTGGTATTAAGTTTTTTGGGTGTTTGATTGTCTGGTATTGTGTTTTTAGGGTGTTTTTTTGTCTGGTATTGTGTTTTTGGGGTATTTGTTTGTCTGGTATTGTTTTTTGGGTGTTTGATTGTCTGGTATTGTGTTTTTGGGGTTTTTTGTTTGTCTCTGGTATTGTGTTTTTGGGGAGTTTTCTTTGTCTGGTATTAAGTTTTTTGGGTGTTTGATTGTCTGGTATTGTGTTTTTGGGGTTTTTTGTTTGTCTGGTTTTGTGTTTTTTGGGGTATTTGTTTGTCTGGTATTGTGTTTTTTGGGTGTTTGTTTGTCTGATATTGTTTTTGGTTAGGTTAGGTAACAGTCACCGTGATGTGTACAGTTAGACTAAAGAATGGACTTGGTGCGCTGTTGACCTCCATCATCTTGAAGAGGTAAATGAGGCAGTAGTCCTGTGGGACAACAATTGCAGCCTCACTCATCAGAACGCCAGAAATTACAACTGGTATTGAAAACCCGAGTCCTAGGTGATACTAATACACCATATTTTATTAAGCTTTAACAAAAATAAAGACAATGATTTCTTAAACACCAGATGATTTTACTCAGAAACCGCTACCACTCAATGGGTTATTCAGATTTACTCAAGATGAACAGAGAAAGTACATTATCGTATACTTAAGGCTCGGAACAACAGGTTTGACCTTACTTCTCATATAATATTGAAGAGGAGTTTCTTCAAGATTCATTAATACTGTACATGACGGTGACTCACCCTCACCTCCTCTCTCTCTCTGTCTCTCTCATTTGTTCAACGTTAAATAATGTAACGTAGTTATTGTTCAACATCATCTTGAAATTATAATCTTAGTCTTTGTGTATATAATATTAATATGTATTGTTAAAAAATATATACAAGATTTCCGATATAAAAAACACTTTCAAGCCAAAATTTACTCTTCTATAATGAACAGAACTAAATTTATCACCACCTGAATCTTCCCAAAACCCATATTAAAGCATATTTCCTCACGGTCATATCTCAGGGATCAGGTGACCTACGACTGAAAAATTTAGGTTGATTCAGGCTTTGGTAGGACTCAGCACACCAGTGAAAATTAATTAAAATCCAAGAGACTTATATCAGTTGTGTGAGTATTACTAACACGTGATAATCTGAGTTATATTTACCTCCACCGTTCATCTTACCTTCACTTTTTATTTTGTTTAGTTATTTTTTTTTTATTACTGTAGTCATACAATTAGGGATGTGGGCATAATGGTATACATATAAATAGGGTAAAAACGACTGTAGGAGAGCTAGAGATAAGCAAAAACTGGGATGGATGAATTAATTTAAAAGCTGGACCCTTGGAGAAATTCAACATTCTGATCGACTGTTAAAGACTGACAGAATTTTTTGGGGTATTGGGGGGCTGTGGTCGCCAACCCTCACACATGAATACGGTGCCTTGATTGGTTTATTATACTAATGTGTTTTATAATATTCTATAATTCTCTCCGTTTGTTTGTTTTTATATTTCTTGTTAGTCATATCATTCTATTCCTCCCTCTATCTCCCCATAGGCAATCTCTCTCTCTCTCTCTCTCTCTCTCTCTCTCTCTCTCTCTCTCTCTCAATTTATCAACCGAGCACTCTTACACACTCACTCTTCCTTTTTTCATCAGGTTTATAGTACACCCTCACTCACCCTCTCCCTTTTTTTTTAGTCAAGCCCACTCACATTCTCCCTCTTTTTTTTCAGTCAAACATTTTTTTTTTGTAACTATCTTCCTCAGCACGGCCTCTCTTTTGCAGCCAAGCCTTTTCGTTCAATTCTACAGTTGGTCTCTCATTCACCGCCCCTGTTTCCCCCCTCAGGCGAGACTGTGAGGTTCAGGATCAAGGGAGGGAACGAGGCAGGGCTGTTCTCCCTCAGTCCTACTACAGGCCGCCTCTCCCTCCTCCGTCCACTAGACTACGAGAATCAGAAACAGGTGAGAGAAATAGGTGACGTGTAAAGGAGAGAGAGAGAGAGAGAGAGAGAGAGAGAGAGAGAGATGATGATACTTGATGTACACTAAGTGATTCCAGAAGTTCGTAGTGATTATTAATGATTGCAGTTGTTGTTGTTGTTCTTATTATCAAATCCTTCCTTTAGTTCTAGTGACGTCTTCAGTTAGTCCTAGATCTAAAACAGTTCTAATAAGTCATAGTTCTAAAACAAATATACATCGTTAGCCTTAAGTCTAACTCGTCCCAGTTCTAAATCACTTACCCACTGGTCTAATTCTCACTTTCGTTGTAACCCAAATCCTCGAGGTAAATTCAGGCCTCTCCTCAGTCAGTATATCTCTGGTATTGCGTTGAAAGTCTCACTTGATCCCTCGCCAGGCAGAGAAAATGCCAGATTAACTGTTGTGATCATGGCTTGAATTAACTCTAATGGTCATTGCTTTAGGTCCGAGATCCCTTCTTTCATCAAACTTACACCGATAAAGTTTTATTTGTAAATCCTTCCTGTCTTCCTCTTTCTACACCTGTTCCTGGCAAAAAAGTAAGACTTTTTTCTTCAGTAATATCGTTGTAGAATATAATTTAACCTTTAACGCTCCATATTGTATGTACTAACATGATTTTTTTTCCTTTTGGTGATTATGGTGAAGATGATACCCTGTTTCACGTACTAATACTCTCTCTCTCTCTCTCTCTCTCTATCTCTCTCTCTCTCTCTCTCTCTCTCTCTCTCTCTCAATTAGCACGAACTGTTGGTGGAGGTTCGTGGTCGTGGTGGTGGTGGTGGTAATGGTGGTGAGGGCAGCAGCGAGGCGCGAGTGGTGGTACATGTAGTAGACATCAACGACCACGCCCCCTACTTCCCCAGGGCACTGCACGAGACCCAGATCACGGAGGAGGACGACAGACACTTACCCAAAACCATACTCACGGTAAGTACTTCTGGCCTAGACCATCTTAACGGTAAGTACTTCTGGCCTAGACCATCTTAACGGTAAGTACTTCTGTTCTAGACCATCTTAACGGTAAGTACTTCTGGCCTAGACCATCTTTACGGTAAGTACTTCTGGCCTAGACCATCTTAACGGTAAGTACTTCTGTTCTAGGCTATCTTAACGGTAAGTACATGTCCAAAATTAACGTCATGGCTAAATACACCTATCGAAAACCCTCCTCATGGCAAATTAGCAATAATATCAAACAGCGTTATCTTGATATACGTATATCTTTTTTTTTTTATAATAATATTCTGTAAGAAAGTTTTATTAGATAACAGTTGTGTATTAAATAATGCACATACAATATATTCTATGTGTTAATCATATGTCAAAAAAGCGATACCCGGACACCTTCGAGTGCCGTGTTACAAAAATTTAGTCATTAGTTTTATGAATACCATCGAAGGTCTAGAGACGACCTGTGACTAAATCAAATTTCAAGAAAATCTGTCTGTCGTTTCAAGAGTTAACGCGAGCACACTATGGATAGATTAAAATAGTAACAGATGGTATAAGCGATTCCTTAACAGCCCACAAACTCGTTCATGAGCGAAAATACGTCTTGAATATATTATGTAATGTCTCATTTTTATTCTGAGTTACTGGTATCGTGTGTTTCGAGGATGAATAGTGAGCGTAGCTTATTGTTGCCCTCAGGCGTGTAGCAGGAGGCATGTAGCAGGAAGCAGCCTGGACCCGCTGTTGGTACATGGGTGCATACAAATTGTGAACGTTAACTCTTAGACTGATACAGACGAAACGTTTTAAGAAAATACATAAACAAGTATGACAGGACTTCCAGAAGCGTAATGTTAAAAGTGGATCAAAGTTAACTTCCTTTCTCTCCCATCACTGGTAGCGTGAGCCTGTGAATGGATTAAGCGATGCAGACTTGGACATCTAACAGGAAATTGTCACTAAACATTGCGGAAAAGATGGTGGAATTTCAGGTAGTGTGGAAAGCAGTATCACTAAAGTAGAACCTGGCGACACCATCTTGTACCTTCACAGACAAAGTATAAGTGACCTACTTCTTACTAAGGCCAAGCAAGAAAATCCAGACAGACGAAAACAAATTTGTGAGAAACTGCTGTGTGTGAGTTATGGTGACGAATGTCTCAGGATATGCCGAGACACCGTCGAGGATGTTGGAGATCTCCAGTCAAACACGAGGAAAGAGGTACTCGTCTCTTACAGTAAACCCGTGCACCACGCTGCGAATTTGGGTAAGTTAGTTACCTTTGTAGTTGAGGATGCTGATTGGTCAGGTGTTTAGCCTCACATATCAAATAGTATTCCTACATCAATGAGGGACACATCAGCATTCAGTGACTGTTCTTCAGAATGTAATCTGCGGTGTCCTAGTGGGTGGACAGTATATATGAACCTTCAGAATGCACAGTTAGTACGACCTGGGTATATTCAACATGCTGAATCCTTCTATACAAGTACGAAAACAGAACTCTATCATCATATTGAGAGAACTAAAGACACAATATGTCTCTCAAAACAGCACGACCCCAGAATAGCCAGTGATAGTCGTGACGGGTCAGCCTCCCAGGGCGAAAACTTATTCAACAGCCGACTGACTCCTCCCGTGATGTCATTCTGAAGTTAATATTGTGCTGATGTGATCACAGTTGTCAACTTCCTAACTGCCAAAGCTTAGTAAAGGCGCTCAGGCGTGCAGATCCTCACTGCACCAACACACACGATGAGGATATCGTTCAGAATCATAAAGATAATCGCAAAATGAATTACAATAACTTTATTTTGTTTCTGCTCTTATATCTAACGCCCTGTGTTTTACTTGTTAAAGGTATATATGTTGACTATGAACTTTCAACCGAAATGTACCTCGCTGCTGCGGATGTCGAACAAACATTAGTGGAAACGGCGAGCTATTTGTTAAAAGAAGAAAAAAATCGTTCTTTTTATTACAACCATTTAGTAGTAATCAGCCAGTTTTCTTAAAAATGATGTATCTTCTTTTCAGTGGACGTTAATATGGGTTTAACGATCACAACAATTACGGGTCTTAAGTCCTAAGAATCAACGGCCCCAACCTCAGCATCACCACACATAGCCCCCCCCCCTCCCCCTCCCCCTCCCTTCACAGCTACCTCAGAAACCTCCCCCTCTTCCTCCCACAACTCATATATCACACACCTCCTCTTCCTCCTCCTTCTCCTCCTCCTCACTCCCACAGCTCATACAACACTCCTCCTCTCTCTCCTCCTTCTCCTCCTCCTTCTCACTCCCAATGCTCATACATCATACACCTCCTCTTCCTCCTCCTCACCTCACAGGCTTTTAACAGCTGGTTGTTTACGATTACCTGTTGTTTACAAATAAGTCACCAGTGTATGAGAGGTAAACAAATCATCCTCATTGTTTATATTCATTGCTGTTTACATAGAGACCTCGTATTCCTTCTATTTCAACACGCAATTAATGACCCCACACCTGTTTCGTTACCCTGGGTTTAATTGGGCCTCAGGTAGTCTTAACAGTAAATATCTATACGGGAAGGGTAGTAAGGTATTGTGTAATAAACCTAGATAATTAACATTGTACCTAGTTCCCAGCCATGGTAATCGTGCACCCTGTGATCCTCGTGCACCCTGTGATCCTCGTGCACCTTGTGATCCTCGTGCACCCTGTGATCCTCGTGTACCCTGTGATCCTCGTGCACCTTGTGATCCTCGTGCACCCTGTGATCCTCGTGCACCCTGTGATCCTCGTGCACCCTGTGATCCTCGTGCACCCTGTGATCCTCGTGCACCCTGTGACCCTCGTGCACCCTGTGATCCTCGTGCACCCTGGTGCTCCATGAGCTCCCGTAATCACCGCTTTATCCTGTGATTAATACCATATGAAAATAAATATCTTGTGAACCATCTTGGCACCTTACTCAACATCGTCTTGGCACCTGACCAGAGAACCAGGAATAACTTAGGTGATTTACTACAAAGTTAATAAAATTTTCCCGACATTTTATAACTAACATTGAGTTCACAGTTTCTAGATCTTTAACTGCTGAAGTATTGTACGTTTGGTATATGATAAATAAATTCCATATACAAGTGACTTTTTTATTCGAATTTTGTTTATATTAAGAGATTAAACGAAAGTGTAAGTGGTCAGGGTTGTGGTTTAGATGATTCTGGTTATAAGATCACACGCCCTGTAAGTCATCCCGGTGGATGTGTTAAGAGTTAGGGAGTTGGCGAGTGTTGTTGATAATGTTTTACTGGTGCTTTTTTTTTACTAGAGACGTGACCCCAGTCGTGTCTAGTCACTCCTTCCAAACATAGTTACTCAACTCGTCATAAACACAGTCGGTCATCACAAACACAGCCACCCCACTCACCCCCATCAAACAAAACAACCACTCTCCATAATAACAAAAACACCCCTCTTGAACACACACACACTACTACTACTACGAATATTACTACTTTGCTCTCACTCGGAATAGAGTATGACGATAATCCAGATATGATACAATGATATGAGTTATTAGGTTTGTCACCTAGGTTGGTGAGTTTTGAGGTGATTAAACAGGCCCATACGGGAGCGCTTGTCTGCTTCGGTTTGCAGTCGGGCTAACTCGAAAGTATTGACACCTTCTCGTGTGGTGCTCCTCCGAGCCTTACGATGTGGAGTAGTCAACTCCCAGGTCAGGGGGTCGATTTGGCACTTTTTCAGGTTTGTCTTGGACTATCCTTATACCTTTTCAATTGCCCGCCGGCGTTACGTTTACTATTCCTTAGGTGACTGTAAAGTAGATGCATTGGCAGTCTACTGTCGTCCATGCGGGTAACATGGCCAGTCCAGCATAGTTGTTCGTGGATAATGGTAGCCTCGACGCTCCTAGAGTTGGTGTCAGTAAGAATACTGGCACTTGTTCTCTTGTCATCCCAGCAAACTCGGGGATGGAACGTAGACTACGTTGGTGAAAGTTTTCAAGTGCCATGAGGGGCCTCCTGTATGTGACGCATGTCTCACTGCCATATAGCATGGTGCGGAGGATCACTGCTCAATATACGTGCAGCTTTGTATATAATTTCAGCTCCCTACAGCTGAAGACACGGTTTCGGAGTCTGCCAAAGGCTTGAGATGCACATCTGATCCGATACTGAATCTCTTCATCAATGTTTGCGGTGGTGGACAGGTGGGAGCCGAGATACCGAAAGTGGGTAACATTAGAGAGGGTAGTACCGTTAAGCTGGATGGATGGTGGAGGTGTGTCTGAACCAGGGGCAGGTTGAAACATAATCTGAATCTTACGTACATTCACCTCAAGGCCGAAGTCCATTCGCATCTGCGTGGGTGATCAGGATCTCCAGTTGGTCGTGTTCAGTGTGAGCAACAAGGGTGAGGTCGTTTGCATACTGAAGTTCAGTAATGAAAGCTGCCAACACCTTAGTTCTTGCCTGGAGTCGTCTTAGGTTGAAAAGACCCCCCTTCACCCGCTACTCGATATCCACCCCGCCGGCTAAATTGGCGGTGGCATGAGTAAGGAAGGCATCCAAGAAAATGGAAAAGAGAGTTGGTGCCAGTACACACCTTTGTTTAACCCCTGTTTGGATGAGGAAGAGCTCAGACTGGGTGCCGTTGTGCAGCACATTGCCGTTCCTACTTTCATGGTGTTGCCTCACAATGGCGATAAATTTTGGTGAGCAGCCAAAAAGTCTGAGGGTCCACCAGAGTGCTTCACTGTTGACAGAGTCGAAAGCCTTGGTTCGGTATGAAAGCCACGTACAGGCCAAGGTTGTATGGTTTGTTTTCGTTTGGATCTATGAATTTGACTTTGTTTTCGACCTCATTAGGATGACTCTACTGGGTGCAGTTTCCCAGTCAGGTTAGGTTTTTAGGCAGGCTATGTTTAGGGCACCTTTTCTAGCCCCCTCCCCGTTTGGGGTGAGTTG